TGGCTACACACAGTAGCCCATGGCAGCTCACTGCCACAGGGACTGCAGCCCACGCCGTCGCCGGCGACTCACGACAGCCCAGCTCCAGGCCAAGCTGTTGTTCAGCATCTTAGCTGTAGAGAGCAGTGTCACTGGCCCTCATATGTGGGATCCGAACCGGGGCCCTCTGGCATCCCAAGCGAGTTCTTAACCATCGCACCACTCGGCCGGCCCAGAAGGTGAAAATTTTAAAGGCATTTTAAACATGTTGCCAAAGGAAATACATAAGGTTGGAGTCAGATGTCGGGGTTCAAATCCCAGCTCTGGCATTTGCTAGCTGCATGATTTGAGCAATTACTTCCCTTCTCTGAGCCTCAGTTTTTTTCATCTGGTAAACTGAGATAATAATAGCCCACACTTCCTGGAGTCATTGTGAGAATTCAGAGTATTATCAAGTGGGTCTTGGGTTTTAACATTTACAGCCCTCAGTCCAGCAGCTTCTCAAACTTTTTGGCTTGAGAACCACTTTACATTCTTTATTAAGCAGCTCAAAGAGCTTTTGGTTATGTAGGGTCACATGTATCAATATTTACCATTTTAGAAATTTAAGCTGAGAATTTAAAATAGCAATAACTAATTCACTGCATAATTATATCTTCAAACCAGAAAGTGAGTGAGCAGAGCAGCAGTGTTCTACATTTTTAAAAATCTCTTTAATATCTGGTTTAAGACAGATGGATTCTCACATCTGCCCCTTCCTTCACTCTGTTGCAATATGTTGTCTTCTTGGAATTATGTAAAGAAAATCCAGCCTCACACAGATAATTAATTGGAAAAGGAAGAAGTATTTTAATATCCTGTACAGGTAATAGCGGATATTCTTCTTGGATACTACACCAACACTCAACTAGTAGTAGTTTCTTGAAGGTTAGTTGCAAGTGACATCTGAAATGACATCAGTGCCCTTTTTGTATTCTATGACATTACAATCCATTGGTCTATTTTATACTTTGAAAGGATCTTTTACCCACATGTACTTTTGTAGCATCATCTGTTGATCTTTTAGAAAACATTGGTTCACTAACTTAAGCAAATGTTGAGCCATTTTATTATACAATATAAAAAATATAATGTTCATTAATATCACCACTGTCTCATCATAAAGGTTTTACAATATTGGGAAACTGTGAAGCTAAAGGTGGCAGATATGAGTTTTCCAAAATTTTACTTTTTGCTAGAAGGCTAGATATAATTTTATCATTGGCAACAAATCCTGTCGGTTGTTTTCCCTGAAGTAACAGACCCTTTGTTCATTTTTAAGAAAATGTTTGCCAATTACCAAAGTCTGAATAACCACAGTTTTGTCTATTGGTCATTTTTTATTTTATTTAATTTATTTATTTTAGCTGAGCCATCCTGCCACCTTTTGCCAGCTCAGCAGCAGCGCAGCTCGGGTGGGACTAGAACCTCTGTCTATTGGTCATTTTTTTTTTTTTTAGTAAAAAACGTGTTCCATGGAAAAAGCAGCTAATTCATCTTGCAACTCAAATAATCACACACATCCTTTTTCTTGAGAAAACAATGGCATGCAATGAAAGTGCTTTATGTGTACTTATCATCACCCATTTCAACTAACAAAATATTAAAAAGATGTGTGCCTCAGGACAAAGATTTAATAAAATTAATATTTTTTTACTGCTCACCAAGGATTTTCTTAAGTGAAAGCGTGTGGTGGTGAAGAATACAATAACTAGTAAATTTGTTATCATTGCCTTGATTCATACTAAGAGCCACCATTGCTTTTGTATCATCAATACAAAGTCAACACTGTGAAACAGGCAAATTGTTATTTTCTCAGCATCACTATGAAAATGATTACAGACCTCTTGAAAGGTACTTGGGAACCCCGAGGGGTCACTGGGCCACACTTTGAGAACTTATGTGCTATCCATTTTTCTATTGGGTTGTTGATCTTTTTCTTACCAATTTAAGAAATCTTTTTTATTGAACTCAGATTAATCCTAGCATTCCACATACGGTGAAAACAGCATTTGCATTTGTGGAAGGGTGGGGAAATAGGTGTATGTGTTTATAGAGTTGAATCTAATGGTTTTTTCCAGTTTCAGTTTCTTCTTAATTAAAAAATATATATATCTTAGCAAATTCTTTCCATACTGACTTGGATAAATATTTGATATTTTCTGTATTAGTTTTTCAGAGATGCCAAACAAAGTATCACAAGCAGGGGGGCTTAAACAGCAGAAATGTATTGTCTTGCAGTGCTAAAGGCCAGAAGTCTGAGACCAAGATGTCCACTGGGTTGGTTCCCTCTGAGGGCTGTGAGGGAGAATCTGCTCCACGTCTTATAGATGCATCACTTGATCTTTGCTTGTATCTTCACACAGTGTTTCCCCTGTGTGTGTGTCTGTATCCAAATTTCTCCTTTTTATAAGGACACAGTCATGTTGGGTTAGGGTCCACCCTAATGACCTCATCTCAACTTGATCATCTGCAAAGGTCCTGTTTCCAAATAATGTCATATTCACAAGTACTGGGGGAGGAGGGGGGTCAGGACTTTATCTAATTTCGGGAACACAATTTAACCCATAACATTTGCCTTTACTTTTTTCTAATGCTCTGATACTATCTCCTTTTCCGTTTGCTTGTCTCATGTTCTGGAATTTATTTAACGAGTATGTGTCCCATAGCTAATATTGGGGTAGTGGTTACATATGGCAAAACGCATCCAAATGTACACTTCAAAGGGGCAAATTTTATTCTAGGTCAACTGTACTTTAAGAAAGTTGATTTTCTGAAAAATAAGTGTTATGGGGGCGGGGAAGGAAGGAAACAGGGAAAGGAGATCAAGTGGGGACCCGACACTG